CGGCGCGCTCCCCCTGCCAAGCTGTCTCTCTTCTCTTTCTCCCCCCCCCCACCCAGCCCCCCTGCCTCTGCAGCCGGTGGGAGGGACTGGGACTTCCTGAGGTCCCAGGGATGGGGCCGGGGCCCATTGGCTGCAATCGGCCCAGGCCTCTGAGAGAGGAGGGGGCTCTGGCAGTGTCCATTGGCCTGGGGGAGGGGACCACCACCTGGGTGGGAAGGGGGCTACCGAGAGAGAGGCCCAGGGTGTGGGGGTGACATCTACACAGAGGGGGATGAGCTCTTGATATCTTTCTTTTCTCACATCCTGTGGGCCTCTTGCCTGGCTTCATTTGTCCCCACCTCCTAGCAAACTTTAGTCCCCACTGCCTAGTTTCATTTGGTCCCCACAGCTTGTGTTCTTTTGGGCCTGTCACCTGGTTTCCCTAGACACTGCTGCCTGATTTCTTTTGTTGGCACTGTCCGCTCTCCTTAAGTCCCTATCACCTGGCTTTATGGGATTGCCCTACCTGGTTTCCTTACATCCTGTCGGGCCTTTCGGGCCTGCCCGGTCTGCCGTCTGGTGTTTGCTCCCCTGCATGGCTTCCTTGGAACCTGTCATACTCCCTTTAGGATAGAGCATCAGGGCCCAAACGACACCTGGAGCGGTAAGTGGTAAGGATGTCAACAGCATTGCCAGTTGTTCCCGGGTTGGGGCCTGGCCAGCACAGCTTGGATTCCATTCTGCCTGGACAGCGACACAGCTTCCTTTCTTGTGATGGGGGGCAGGGCTACAGGGTCCAAGGACACTTCAGGATTCTTGTCCTCAGTGATTGGTTAGAGGAGCACTGGCTTGGCCAGTGCTGTCCCCATCTCTCTTTGGGCCTGACAGTGATGACAGGGCCTTGGCAGGGGCTGGGGGCTGAGGTCTGGGCCACATCTCCTTCTCCTTACCTTGCCTCTTGCAGCCAAGCCTGACAGGCAGGTGCACTCTAGATAGTTGTGGGCACAGAGAGGATTTGAAGAGGTTCGGGATCACACAGCAGGTGGCTAGGTTGGGCGCTGTTGCTGATTCTCATCCTGGAGAAGCGGGGTTGCTGCGGGGAGGCAGGAGGGGCCCTGGGGCGTGGGCTGGTTTCTCGGCTTCTCTGGCGCCTGCTACTGCCAGGGCCAGCCCTTCACCCAGGGGCTTCCTCAGCCCACCCACCCTGTCTGGCTGGGTCTGTGCTTACTCCCAAATGCTGAGAAAGCAGGGCCAGGGGAGGAAGGAGCCATCTAGGAAATTATCATATCTCCTTGCTTTTTAAGGACCGACAAATTGCCTCCTTCCCTTTTCCTTCCTTCCTTAGGCCACCCTGAGCTTTAGCCTCCACCCCTCCAAGTGCAGCCTGGGCAGTCCGAGGTCCCAGCATGGAATGACTGCTGTGAGTGTGTATCTTTGTATTTCCCACTGCTGGATGTGGGAGCATGAGAGGCTGAGGGTGGCTGGGGGACTCTGGGTTTCTGAAGGTGCGATGGTATCTATGTGGAAGATAGACTGCTCCGAGTGTGGGATGGCATCCATATGTGAGACTGTGACCGTTTTGAGTGAGCGCGTGTGAGAGTCTGCGTGTGTGACTGTAATACGTGTGTGCATGCGCAGCGTGTGCGAAGCTGTGGCAGTGGGTGTCCACGTGGGAGGCCGAGGTGTGTGGTCACGGTGGTGAACTCTGAGTGCCAGTGTCTGTGAGGCCGCCTGGGTGTGTCTGCAAAGCTCTGGCCGTGTGTATGGGGAGGTAGGGAGGGCTTTGGGGAGCTCTGCCAGCAGTAGCGAGAGTCCAAGTGTGGGCTACATCTCGGGGAGAAGTGTGCCCCAGGTGCCGTGTGACCCTGAATTGCTGGTGTGTGTGTGAGCATGTGTGCGCACATACTCAGGCCTGTGTTTGCCCATCAGGAACAGATTGCTCTGGCTTCCCCACTGCGAGGAGGGAGAAGGCGGGGGGAGGATGGCTTGCTTTTGCCCAGCAGCCCAGAAGCTTCCTCAGAAGTAGTGTGTGCAGTGTGCATGCATGCTAGGGGGGCAGGGACAACGGGACACTGTTACATGAAGACAGGCGAAGTTTCTGTTCCCCCCCCCCCGCAACTCTAGCTCTGTCAGAAAGACCATCTTCAGTTCTTTTTGTTAGAAACCAATGCTTCATATGCAGTGCCGCCCCCCCCACCCCACCCCTGTGTGTGTGTGTGTGTGTGTGTGTGTGCGCGCGCACGCGCGCGCACGCTTGCAAGCATAGGCCTTTGAGGGTGTGTCGGCACCATAGCAGTGATGGGGCCAGGGGTGGGGTGTAGTGAGAGATGCTGAGGCAAATAGGTCTTTGTCCCAGCCCCCGAGTCTGCAAAGCTATTCTGTCCATCTTTCTCTCTTCATGGAGGGCCTGCAGCCTCCTTCTTGCCCTGCCTCATCAGCTGGGAGGCCCCCCCACCCTCGCCTGGGAAGTCTCATTCAACCCTTTACTCTGCCCATCCCCCAGCAATGAATGGGAGTTCTTCCAGCTGTCTAACCTCCTGCTGTAGTGGTTTGTCCATCCAAGAGGAGCAGCCCCCACTCCCTGCATACTTAACCTGACTGGTGCATGGCCCTTTTCTAGGTAGAGGGGTCCTCCCAATTCTTCTAGAAGCCAGGAAAGACCCTGGACTGGGGCTAGGGGCTACGGGATTTGGTGCTTGTGAGCCAGGTTCTGTGAAGTTGTCTAGAGCCCATGTACCCATAGGGAAGATAGGCGCTTATCTGCTCCTTCCTCTTCCTCATTTGAAGGGCAGGGGACTGGTCCAGATGACTTTTGAGGGAGAAAGCCCAGACCTTTTGCACCTAGAGGGTTGCTTAAGCCCCGGCCTGCATATACGTGTGTATATAAGCCCATGCCAGGTCCACAGACAGCATGCAGGGCCCTGAGTAGGGCTCCACATTGTGGGCATGGGCTGGTAGGATTCAGATTCCCACCTCCCCCAGGCACCTCCCCGCTGCCCAGCCAGGCCCATCATGGGAACGCCCCAGGCTCCCCCCACAACACGCCTGCACACACGTGCAGCAGGGCATGCACATGCTGATCTCAGGGTCCCCACGGTGCAAGAGGCTGGAGGTGGGGGGTTTGAGCACTAGAGTCCGGGCTGCTGCCAAAATCCATTGGAATCTTGTCCCCCCCAGGCCCCCATCTCCGGCTGTGGAGGTCACAATAGCAGGTGCGGATACCCACTCCCCCCCAAACTCATTCACATTGGGCCGCCTCCTTTTCCACAACCTCAGCCAGCGGCTGGAGCTGGGGGACTGCTCCCCCTGCCTCCCTCCTGGCCCCCCTCCCACTGGTGCTGAGCTTCTCCTGCCCCCTTCTATGGGGGGAGACGGGGGCCTACATTTGGGTGGGGTCCTTTCCCCTGAACATTGGGGCTTGACCCTGGAGTGGGTGGACATGTGGTAACGCAGGAGGAGATAAGGCTTGAATCCTGAACCCAGGCACGGCTCCTATGCCCCTCAGTGTGGGGGCATCAGTAGCTGGGAGGAGGGCCAGGTGTAGATTCAGAGAGAATGAGCCAGAGACAAGAAACTCAGAGATAGGAGGTAGAGACACCACAGGGAATGGGAGCCTGCCCAGTGGCCAGCCAGCCCCGGCCCCAGGAGCTGGCCCCTGACCCAGGCCCGCCCCCTCCCCAGTGGGGGGTCTGCTGGGCCAGCTGCCAGGGGCCAGACCTCCCTCCTCAGTCTATATCCCCCCCCCCAACACTCACACACCCTCTGGACTGCTCAGGCCTCTGCCCCCGCCCCCACCACCCACGCTGTCCAGGCTGCCTAGGCCTGGTGGGATCTGGGGGCCTCTTGGTCTCAGCCCCTCCTCCCCCTCCCGGAGCTTCCAGCCAGCCCTGACTGTCCCTCCCAGGCTCTCCCTCGGCCAGTGCTGCTCCTCCTTGCCCACCACATCGTTGTCTCTGTCTCTGCCCTCGCTCTCTCATTTTCTCTCTCTACCTCCAAGTGAAGGTGTCTCTTTTCCTTGCTCTGCCCTAATTCCTCTGCAGGTCTGAGGCCTCTAGAGTTTCCCAGGCTTTTGAGTCACTTAGTCCATGCTGTGTCCTGTCCTGTGTTCTTGCCTTTTCTCAGGATGGGTCCTCTACAGCTGTTGTAGGGAGAGGGGAGGGGGCGAGGCCCTAGGACAAAGTGTCTTTTCCCTCACACTGAGGGATTCTGGAGTCGGGGGTTACCGAGGCGGACTAGAAGCTGTGGAGATGTCACCTTGGCCATGCTATGGGTTAGATGCCCTCCCACAGATATGAATGTTCCTGACCTCACCCATCCCTGTTGGGGTGGGTAGTGTAGGCCAGTGACTTTGGTTGAATTTCAATTTTGGGGCATACCACATGGGCCTCCCTGTTCATTCATTCTTCAGACCAAATTGAGCCTACCTGACCCTCAGCACACCCACCCCAACTAACGCCCTGAAGTCAGAACGTACTGTTGCACGTCAACACTCACACACAGTTAGAGCTGGGCCCCAGCCAGTGGTGCTCAGAATCTCCCACTCCTACTCTGGATGTGGCAGGGATTCCTGAGGGCTGGGCCTCTGTAACCTTCTGCAGGGATTAATAGGAGCTCTCCAGACTCACACCTCCCCATCCTCAGGTCGTGCCTTCAGCTGGTCAAGGGGTGAGGGTTGGGGGCACAAGGCACCTGGGACCTTGCTGGGGCTGGCAAGAGGGGTCTTGGGCCCTGGATCTTAAGCCAGACTCAGAAACTGAGTAATTGAGGTCTCTAATCTGGAGCCTGTCACTGTCTGTCAGCATCCCTGCTAGTGATTGCCAGTCTCTGTGGTGCCACTGTTACTGTGGGCCGCTGTTATTCTGTGTGACCGTCCATGTTACTGAGTCTGACTGTCGGCATCCCTGTGTTACTGTGGATGCACTGTCATTGTAACTCTCTGTGACTGTCCATTTCATTGCATCTTTGATTCTGGGGTTATTGTCACTGTGATTTTGTCTGTGTCAACAGGTGTCATTGCCCCATTTGTTAGTGTCATTATTTATGACTGTCACTCACTACATTGTCACTATAATGACTGTCAATATCCCGGTGTGCCATTGTCAACTATACACATGGGTCATTTTCACTGGGTGGTGTTCTCACTGTGTAATGGTGTCTTTGTGTCACAGTCGGACAGTGACAGTAAATTGGGGGCCCAGGATTTGTCTCTTGATGTGTCACCTGTGTGTGTATAGTGAGGTTCTGTGTCAGGAGAGGTGCTGAGCTCCTTGTGTTAACAGGGGGTGTGGGCTGCTAGGTACTGGCCTCCTGTCTTGTTGATGAGTGCCCTCTGTTGCCTCCTCATTGTGGGGCTGGGGCTAGAGGCCAGGCTGGCCCGTGCAGGGGGTCTACAGAGAGCTTCAGCCAGTTTGCATAGCCCCTATCTGAGGCTTTATGGGATTTATCCTCCAGATCTATCCCAGAGCCATGGGGTGTGGACTTGGAAAATTCTTGGGGAGGATGCTCTTTGCCCTGGGATGGGTGGCCCGAGGTGAGCTAGGGCAGGGTGGAGATAGAGCCTGGATGCCTCTGGCCTCAGCTTCCCTACCTGGGAATGGACCCAGCTGGGACTCTGAAGGAAGGGAGGAGTGAAATTGGCTGGGGGTTTTCTGGATCTGCAGGGGCAGAGATGGGGTGGGGTAGGTGGGGTTTTAGTCTTCCCTTATTCCCTGGGGGCTGCACTCCTGCATCGCCAGAGAGAAGCCCTACAGCCTCCAGGAAGGCTGCACTGACACCATCCTCCCTTAGCACTGGAGGAGCTAGGTGGGCTTAGAGAGATGCTCTAGGATGGGCACAGAGACCCTCTCTGGATCTGTCCCTTTCTCTGTCCTTGAATCTCTGCCCATCCCCTGTTGTCCTCATCTCTCTTCCTGGGTCTCTTCTCCCATTTCTCCCTAACTTGGTCTCTACTTGTCCCCCGGGTCTTGGCTCATGGCTTTCCTTCTCTCTTGGCCTCTTTCCTGCCCCCTCCTGGGGTCTCTGCCTTTTCTGGGTGCCCCCAGCCATGCAGTGTCTGTTTCGGTACCCCATCCCCCACTCTCTGCAGCACTCGCTCTCGGCAGCGCCCGTCTCCCATGGCTGCAGCCCCGTTGGCCCAGGGCCCGGCCCTTACAGTAACTCATCGGGCTGATGGAGGCGACTTTGATGAAGAAGCTACCCCTCCCCCTGAGGGGGCCTGAGTGTGTGTGTGTGTGCATGCGTGTGCATGTGCGCGTGTGTGCGTGCGCGCTTATATGCAGGCACACTCATGCCAGGCTGTCTTCTTGCCCCTGCACCCCCAACGGGGACAGGAAGGAGCTGGGAGCAGAGGGCCACCCTGTCGCTCTTCCATCCTGTGATCCAACCTTGCTCCCTTCTGCCTCCCCGGGCCCTGGTTCCTGCCCCCACGTAGTGGGCAGTGGGGCCTGGCACTGACGTAGAGTATCTTCCCGGCTGTGAGGAGAAAGGCACGGACAGATGGCAGAGGTGGTGGGGGAGCGTCTGAGGCCTACCTGCAAGGGTTGAGGTGGGGAACCAGGTAGGCCTGTAGCCTCTTGCCTGCCTCTCTTTTTCTCTCCCTCTCCCTTCCTCTCTCCCTTCCTCTGAATTCAGACAGTCCCTGGGTTCATTTTCTGGCCCCACTGCTCGCTGACTGTGATGTTGGCCATCGTCTTCACCTTCTAGGCCTGAGGAGTAGTTGAAGATAGGGGAGTGGCTGAGGGTCAGGAGGAGCCAGGCCAAGTGGTAGCTAAGGCCCTGGGAGTCCCTGAAGTGGGAGGGGCAGCCAAAGCCACCTGGGGCCTAGAGAGATAAGCTGTGCCAGGGAGGGGCAGGAAGAGCACCTGCTGCTTGGCTGGAGGAAGCCAGGTGCAGAAGGGGGGCCTTGCCTGGTGAGGGCGAAGTGTCGCCACAGGCAGGCCGGAGCCCTGTCCCATACAGGAGCCCCCGGAAGTCAGATTCTCTCCAGTTCTCCCACTCACTGCTACAGGCTGACCCCCACATTTGTCTCCTCCCTGCTGTAGCTCCGTTTGCAGTTTCTCTGGCAGTCCTCTGGCTGTGTGTCTGGCTGTTTGTCTGGCAGTATTTCTGACAGTGTCTCAGGCTGTGTCTGGCAGCGGGTCTGTGTGTCTGAGTGTCCCTGGCACTGTTTTCAGTGGTGTGGATACTTCCTGACTGAGCATCTGGCTATGTCTCTGGCTCTCTTTCTAGCTGTTTTTTTGGGTGTATGCCTGTTTGTGTCTATCAGTTTCTCTGGTATTTCTCTGCTTGTGTGTCAGGCAGTTTCTCTGGCAGGGTTTCTGACAGTGTCTCTAGTCCTCTTGCTATGTCGCTCATGGTTTCTGTGCCTGTGTTTCTTGCTCTTTCTCTGTGGGTAGGTCTGCTCGCATCTGGCCGAGCCTTTTCCAGTATTTCTGGTGGACCCTTTGGTCCCGTGTCAGTCTTTCTCTGACCATGCCTCTGCCTGTTTATCGGGTCATAGCTACCCGTTTCTCTGGCTTTATCTGATGGTGCCTCACACAGTGTCTCTAGTGTATCTCCTGCTGTGCGTGGAGCTCTTTCCCTGGGACTCTGTGTGGTGGTTTGGGGCAGCGTCTCGGCTGTGGGTCAGGGTGTATCTCTGACAGTACTGCTCACCCTGCTTGAGTGTCTGGCAGTATTCCTCTCTAGATCTCTGTCTCTGTCTGGTTGACGGTTCCCCTCTCACTTCACACTGGGGTAGGAGAGAGTCATATTTGAGGCTTTTTTCCTGCGGGAAATAGTTATTTCCCTGCCCTCCGGTGTGATCATGTGTTGGGAGAGTGGGGGCAGGCAGGTGGATCGACCCCATGAAGCAGGACACAGATGAGGGGACCCCTGGATCCGTCCTGGCTTCTGGGGACATCCCGACTGTGCTGCGTGTACCTGCAGAGGTGTGTGTAGACACGACGCACATCTGGGCTGAGGGTCTCAGGCTCCTGGGGCATGTGTCTGGGGTGGAGGATGGCCTGGGGCCCCTGCCAAGGACTTACATGTGAAATGCCCTCCTTCTCTCTTGGTCATTGGGTCATTGTACACTAAAGCAAGAGCCATATCTGACCTTGGTGCCCTGCTGCTGTGAACATCCCAGAGCCCAGGGGCAAGGCTCACGGAGAGGTGGGGGTACAGATACAGGTGGGGGTGCAGATTCGAGGGACTTCAGAGCATCCGGGTTTCAGGCTCTCTCCCCAGGAGCACAGCAGGGGGCCTTCCATTCAAGGCAATTTGCAGAAATACAGACCTCCTGTTAAGTTCAAACATTACCCTTTCGGTTTGCAGTGCTTATAGCCAATTAGCCAACCTCACCAGTAAAGTTATTTTTTTTTTTTTTTAGAAAAATGGCCCTAGCATTACCAGTGTTCCATAACTCATCCGTGGTTGACTACATCCTGCAACCAGCAGCCTTAGTGAACAGCAAACCACTGTAGGTTGCCTTCTACCATCTTAGCGAGCCTTTGCCTACAGATGCCAATAATGTTGCTTTCTGTTGCTCGAAAGAGAATCCTGAGCCCCATTAAGAAGGGCACTTGGGGTCAGGGTGCCCCTAGCCCTAGGGCTGGGATCTTCCAGTCTTGCCGGAGAACAGGGAGGGGCTCCCCAGGAGGTTCCTGCCTGGGCTGATGCTGCCCCTTCCCCCGCCACCCCCATTTCTCCCAGCAGATGGCTGCCCCTGTCCCGTGGGCCTGCTGTGCTGTGCTCGCTGCCGCCACCGCCGTTGTCTACACCCAGAGACACAGTCCTCAAGGTGAGTGCTGGAGGAGAGGATTCTGGGGGGCAGGGTGGTGCTCCCTGCTGACCCCCACCCAGAGCCGAGCATGAGCCCTCCTTGACACAGCTGTGTGTGTCCACCCAAGACCACACACCGGCATGTCCTGGCATTGTCACACACGAACACCCATGAGTCCTATGACACTGATATGCTGGGTGACCCACTGATGTCTTACACACACAGTCCTCCAGTCACTCCACGTGGTCCCGTGCTGATGGTATCTTTGGCTTGATGATCCGTTCCTCTTCCCGCTAGAGTGGGTGTAGGGTACAGGCAGGTGGGATGGGAGTTGGGGGCAGCTAGGGGTGGGGCCCTGTATAGTATCTTTGAAATGGGATCTCATTTGAAATGGGGGTTTGTGGGGGTGCAGTGGAAGGCACTGAGAGTGACAGAGGCCAAGACTACTTTCCCGTATCCTAGAGGGAAGATGGAGACAGAGATGGTAGACTGAGAACAAGATGTGGGGATGGGCAGGGTGAGCAGTGGGAGAGGGCTGACACACTAAGGAAGGGGATAAGTCAGTCAGCTGGAATGGTTGGACGAGGCAGAGATTGCTCAGGCTGGACCATTGGCAGCCTCCTGCCTTCCCCCTACCATTTCTCCAGGGAGGGCTGAGTTCTTACTGCAGCCCACACAGCAAGAAGCTGCCCCCCTGCTGGGAAACAGGTGCGCTCTTAACTTGACCACCAGCGCTCAAACTGCATTTGAGGCAACACCTCACATGGCTACATCAGCATAAGGTCTGACCTCGAAACTCCTCAAACACGCTCTGAGGTGTAGGGAGCTCTCCCCTTGGATGGGTCCTGCCCCCCGCCACCCTTGGCTGGGTTGGCTAGAGGCAGAGAGGGTCGGGGCACTTCTGGGGCCCAGGCACAGAGCACACCTTGCCACCCGCAAGGCTGTGGGTTCAAGGAGGGCAATGAGTCAAGGCTCCTGTGCCTTCTTCCTTGAGAGACCGACACTGAGACCCAGAAAGAGCCTAGCCCACCCCAGGGCTACTCCCCAGTGGGCAGGGAGCGAAAGGACCACCAGGCCAGCCCATTAACCCCTGCCTGCAGTCAGTCTGTCTTGGGCTTGTGTGCTGATCTCACCTGCTTGGACCTGCCAGTGGCCATTCCCACCGGCTTGGCCCCTGCCCTGTATTATGGGTAAAGGCAGAGCACGTGTGACCAAGGGCTTGAGCGTTAAGTCTGCATCTCTGAGAGTGTCTAACTGTCCTTGTCCATTAAGGCTGTGTTCTTGTGTGGATGAGACCATGTCCCTGTTCGGATGCATTTCTCTGTGTGATTGTATCCTTGGGGGCTGTGCCCTGTGTGTGACATTGTCTATTTATGTGTGACCATGCTCTTTGTGGGGCTTTGTCCTTGTGGTCGAGACTGTACCCTGTGTGGTAGTTTGATAGTTTCTCTCTGTTTCTGTCTCTTTGCATGTCTGTGTCCCTGTTCAGTTGTCTCCCTGCTGGGAGACTGTGCCCTTATGTGTAAGTGTGCCTTTGGGTGACATTCCCTCCCTGTGCATGCGTGTGATCATCTTGTACTAGGTGTTAACCGTCCCTGAAGTGGGACCGGCTCCCTGTGTAACTGTGACCTTGTGGACAGTTGTTCTGTGTGTGTTTGTTCTTCTTGTGGTGACTGTCCTCATCCTGTGTGTGTGGCGATGTGAAGTTGCTTAGGATGCCCGGGGGGACTGTTTCCGGCATGTGGTCCCCATGTGAGCCCGTGTGCACAGGTGTGAGGGAGCCGTCAGCTCTGTCCTTCTGTGTTCTCCATGTCCATGACCTCATCCTGTCTCTGTCTCTCATACTGGCTTCTAACAACCTTTTCACAGCTGATTCCTTTGGAGCATTTGTCACCGCGTCAAGGCCAAGAACCCCATCCTCCCCCTGCCGCTTGATTTAATTTCCGAAATGGACAGCACATCAGTAGGGGCACCCACGGGGCGGGAGGAGAGCTGTCCAGAGACAAAGGATTAAATCATTGCCATCTCTGGAGCTGTTGCACGGCTGTGTGTATATTGCCGTTGTTGTGTTACTGTAGCATTTGTGACAGTGTGTGTCTTGCGTGATTGTCATGTCATGTTGCCCCCTCTACCTCCGCATTGTGGCCTGTAGTTGTCTTCTGTCATTGCGTTGTCATGTCTTCCTTCCTGCCCTGCCCTTACATTGTTGGTTTGTCATTGTTGTCACGTTGCATTTCTGTTTCCTTTGTGAGGCAGACAGGGTGATTTGGGAACGTTATCCCATTGTCATTATATTTGTTGTGCTCTTGGGTGGCTGTACCTGACCCACAGTATTAAAGAACCACACTGGGTCCAAGTTAGTTCTGAGCTGCTGTTGGTCAGTGTTGCCGTGTTGCTGCTGGGACCATGGTGGCCACACCCCCTCCCCTACGGTCAGTTTTCAGCCTCCTCCTCAGGCAGCTGGATGCAGAGTCTGTGCTAGTGGGGGGGCGGGGGGGGAAGGGTTCAGAGAGAGGGGCTTGGCATGTTTCCTGGAAGCTCCAGGTTTTGACAGGGGAGGTTGGAGGGGGGCTCAATGGCTAGGGCTGGTGGATTGGGGGAGCTCTATGGCTTGAGCCTTGGACACTGGGCCTCTGGTCAGGGGGAGGCCCCCATTCAGCCTCTGGTCCTGCCTCACAGCTGTGGCCTCCAAGGCCCCCAGCCACCGCCCTTCTGCCGTTCATCCTTTGTTTGGCTGGTCCCAGGCCCCACAGACCAGTGGTCAAGGCTGGCTGGGTTTCCTGCTTCCCTCTCCTCCAACAGGGGACAGGGATCGAGAGGCTCAGAGAGGGGCAAGACAGAGGCAGGCAGCGGGGGAGAAACCTGAAGACACGGAGAGAACCTGGCACAGGAAGAGTGACAGAGGCAGCAAACAGGGACAGATGTTCCAGCACAGAGAAAAGCAGTACTGGGGAGGGGGCTGTGACGGAGGGAGCGGGGTGGCTGGTGGCATAGGGGGATCCCTACCCCCTGCAGTCCTGGTGGTGTTAACAAGTCTAATTAAGAGGCCACTGGCCCAAGTTAATTGGCTTGTTAACAGGAATTGCCTCTGAAAATCCCCCAACTCAGCAGGGTGGCTCTC